TGGGGGGTTAGGGGGTGGTGGTGCTCTGCTAATTTTGCAAATCTCTAGGTGTTCTTTTATTGTTTCTTTAATCTATCTTTAAATCTTTTGTTTTCTTTTCAATGGAATTCGCCATGAAACCTGTGCTATTTCTTGATCATCACCCCAGTGTTCGAATCAAGCAAGAAAACCCAGAAAAAAGGAAAGGGTTTTAGAGAGAGAAAGACAGAGAAGTAGAGAGAGAGAGAGAGACACGAAGATTAAGAAAACAAACAGCAAACCTAAAACCCCAAATGATACAAACCCAAGAAAAGTTTGCAATTTGAGGCAAATGTCGATCTCCAAACCCCATAACAACAACCATATTAATCTTCCCTTGGTTTTCTTTTTCACTTTTCTGTCAACCCTTTTCTTGATTTTCTCCTCCGCCGCCGCTACCGGTGGTGGTGGGGGTGACGATGGTGCTAACGATGAAGCCATTCTGCTTTTCACGTGGCTTCATGGTGGTGGTGGTTTGCCACCTTCTTCTTTCTCAAGTTGGACACTTTCCGGTGTCACCAAGAATCCATGCAAATGGGATTACGTTAAATGTGATTCAGAGGGTTTTGTTTCTGAAATCAAGATTCAATCGATTCCATTGCAGCTTCCATTACCCACTAATCTTTCTTCACTTTCTCATCTCAAAAGCTTAATAATATCCGATGCTAATATCACCGGAACTATCTCCGACGACCTTGGCGGCTGCCTTGAACTCGTCGCCATTGATTTAAGCTCAAACAGTCTCGTGGGTCCCATCCCATCTTCCATTGGCAACCTTGTTAACCTCCAAGATTTGATTTTGAACTCCAACAAGCTCACCGGAGGAATCCCACATGAGCTCGGGAGCTGCCGGAGTCTCAAGAATCTTTACCTATTTGATAACCGACTTTCCGGCAACATTCCGGCTGAATTAGGTCAGTTAGTAAACCTGGAAGTCATACGTGCCGGCGGAAACAATGAACTCGCCGGAAAAATCCCAGATGAGATCGGAAACTGCAGTAACCTCACGTTCCTTGGCCTCGCAGATACAAGAATCTCAGGGTCTCTCCCTAGCTCTTTGGGTAAGCTCAGTAAACTTCAAACACTATCCATCTACACCGCCAGGCTCTCCGGCGAGTTGCCGCCGGAGATTGGCGACTGTTCTGAGCTTGTAAACTTGTTCTTATACGAAAACCATCTTTCTGGTCCAATCGTTCCCCAACTGGGAAAGCTTCAAAAACTCGAAAAACTGCTTCTATGGCAGAATAATTTCGTCGGATTCATCCCGGAAGAGATCGGAAACTGTACCAAATTAAGAATGTTTGATGTTTCTTTAAACTCTTTTTCCGGCATTCTTCCATCTTCCGTCGGTAATCTTGTTGCATTAGAAGAATTCATGATCAGTAACAACAATATCTCTGGTTCAATCCCCAATGTGCTTGCAAACGCCATTAATCTCCAACAATTACAGCTCGACACCAATCAAATCTCAGGATTGATTCCTCCTGAGCTGGGAAAATTGACGAATCTTGAAGTGTTCTTCGCTTGGGATAATGAACTTGAAGGAAGCATTCCTTCAAGCTTCGGAAACTGTTATAATCTTCAAGCATTAGATTTATCACATAATTCACTCACCGGTAGTATTCCTCCAGGGTTGTTTCAACTACAAAACCTCACTAAATTGCTTCTGATTTCTAATGATATTTCGGGTTCCATACCACCGGAGATCGGGAATTGTAGCTCTTTGGTGAGATTGAGGTTGGGTGATAATCGAATAACAGGCGAAATCCCGAAAGAAATCGCGGGTTTGAAGAGCATAAACTTTCTTGATTTATCGGGAAATCGGCTTTCCGGGGTGGTGCCTAACGAGATCGCCAATTGTACAGACTTGGAAATGGTCGATCTTAGCAATAACACGCTAGAAGGCGCGTTACCGGATTCTTTATCGTCGTTATCTCGTCTCCAAGTGTTGGATGTTTCGAGTAATAGCTTTTACGGTCTAATTCCGGCTAGTTTAGGGACGCTCCTGGCGTTAAACAAGCTCATTTTGGCCAAAAACACGTTTTCTGGAGCCATTCCGGCATCGCTTGGTCTCTGTTCGAGTCTCCAGTTTCTTGACCTGAGCAGCAACGGATTATCGGGCGAAATCCCGCCTGAGTTAGGGACCATCCAGGCCCTCGAGATTGCGCTCAACTTGAGCCGCAATCAGCTAACCGGTCCGATCCCCGTTCAGATAGCCGCCCTCGGCAAGCTTTCTACTCTCGACATTTCGTACAACAATCTAAATGGAAACTTGAGCCCACTTTCGCGCCTTGACAACCTCGTCTCGCTGAATATCTCGCACAATAACTTCACGGGATATCTACCGGATAACAAGCTCTTTCGACAATTATCCGAAGCCGATTTAGCCGGGAATCGAGGGTTATGTTCTTTCGGCAAAGATTCGTGTTTCTTGAGCAACATGGCCGAATCCGGAAACGGGAAAGATGAGTACAAGTCGAGGAACGCTAAGCGGCTAAGACTCGCAATTGCACTGCTCGTTACTTTAACAATAGCTATGATCATCATGGGCGTGGCTGCAGTTCTACGGGCAAGAAGGAGCATCACAGGAGACGATGAGTCCGAGCTCGGCGAGTCATGGCCGTGGCAGTTCACTCCGTTTCAGAAACTAAATTTTTCGGTCGATCGAATCCTTAAATGTTTGGTGGACACGAATGTGATTGGAAAAGGGTGTTCCGGGGTGGTGTATCGTGCCGATATGGACAATGGCGAAGTCATTGCTGTAAAGAAGCTTTGGCCGTCTATGACGGTTGACGGTGGTTACGTTGATGAGAAATGTGCGGTCCGAGACTCGTTTTCGGCCGAAGTGAAGACCTTGGGCTCAGTACGACACAAGAACATCGTCCGGTTTCTGGGTTGTTGTTGGAACAAGAAAACAAGGCTACTTATGTACGATTACATGCCGAACGGGAGTCTAGGTAGCCTCCTCCACGAGCGTGTCGGGAGTTCATTGGAGTGGGAACTCAGGTTCCAAATCGTGCTGGGAGCGGCCGAAGGGATTGCGTATTTGCACCATGATTGTGTTCCTCCGATCGTTCATCGTGATATCAAGGCTAATAACATCCTCATCGGGCTGGAATTCGAGCCCTACATTGCCGATTTCGGCCTTGCAAAGCTAGTCGATGATGGTGATTTTGCTCGGTCCTCTAATACCATCGCGGGTTCCTACGGTTACATCGCTCCTGGTAAGCATTCCTTTCATTACGCTCATGATTTCGAATCGATATCTCAAGGTTCCTTGCAACAAAATCGGCTTTATAAGATAAGCTGTTTTATAAGATTTAAATTTACACTATGTAAATGTGTTTAAATAAGATGCTAAGACTATTTAGTTTTTTTATTGACAAATATGTCTAAAAATGTCCTATCAACTTATTGTAACACATTTATACAGACATATAACTGTTCATTTTTTAAACCTTTTTTTATTAACCTGGATATCCAACCCGCTATACGAGCCGTCATGTTAAACGGTTTATTAAGGACACTTAATTAGACATAATATGGCTTCCTATAAAACCATTTTGTCGCAACGGTTTCACTTTTTTGCTAATGGTTTTATTTGGAGCGTAAGCGTTGACGAGAAGTTGTAGTGTTGGATTTAATTTCACGGTCTCCGGGTTTAGACTCACGATTTTATTTCCGTTATTACCGCAGAATATGGGTACATGATGAAGATAACGGAAAAGAGCGATGTTTACAGTTACGGGGTCGTCGTACTAGAAGTTCTAACGGGAAAACAACCAATCGATCCAACGATCCCAGACGGTCTTCACGTCGTGGATTGGGTAAAACAAAGAAAAGGCTGGACCGAAGTTCTCGACCCGACCCTACTATCCCGACCAGAATCCGAAATCGAAGAAATGATGCAAGCATTAGGCATCGCGTTACTATGCGTCAACTCCGCACCCGAAGAACGACCGACGATGAAAGACGTTGCAGCAATGTTGAAGGAAATCAAACATGAACGAGAAGAGTACGCAAAAGTCGACGCGCTCTTGAAGGGCTCCCCAGAAAAGCCCACCGCCGGAAACAGACCCGGAGGAGTTCCGGCGATCTCGTCGTCATCGGCCGCCACGGCCTCCGGCGGGATGAGAAGCAACCCAAGTAGCTTCTCAGGTTCCTCCTTGCTTCACTCATCTTCTTGTAGAGTGGCTTACAAGTGAATAAAAATGGCTTCTGTTTTAATTGCTTGTAGGGTGTGGTTTTTTTAGTCTATTGGAAATTGTAATTTGTATTTATTTTTGTGTGAGTTTAATCAAGATTTTAATGGGTTTATATGTAAATTAAGAAGAAAATTGTGGCCAATTTTGGCTTATGAACCTTTTATGTTACAATTAGGAATAATGACCCCTTTTTTGGCAGTTAATTATGTACATTATTCATTAATGAATAGGATTTTTATCTGATTATTTTAAGTTACGAATTTTATTCGTTCAATCGGTCGTTCTAATTTAAAGGTGTAAATGGTACGAGACAACTCGTAAGCTACTCGAGATCGACTACGTCAAATCTCGGTCAACACTAGATTTGAATAGGCTTGACTCCAATTCGAGTCTTGCACTTGGTTCATGTTTTTACCACCACTCACATCACCACCCCATCCAACACTACCATCGTTGTCGCCACCTCCACCACCGCCACTGCCACTACCACCACCACCATAGCCCCGCTACCACCACCACCACCACCACTATCATCTACACCACTACCAGCCCCACCACCACTATTCTATTCAACGAACCAAACATACCGCTTCAAAATATTTTGATAGATTGTGTTCCAATTCCTGTCAACCAAACGCATGGTCAAACATGATTAAATTTCATTTCAGTTCTTTCAGATTCCAATTTCGAAAAATTCCATTTTATGAACCAAATGTCATATAATTCAATTTGTTTTATTTATTATTTTTCATGTTTATTTTATAAATTTTATTTATATAATTTAAGAATAAATAAAAGTGTACTTCGGTCACTTACAATTACGTCATTGCAATCACAAAATTACATTATGTCAATCAAACACGATGATTCCAATTTCTTCCAGATATTTCATTCCAATCATAGTCAATCAAACTCGATCAAACTCTATTCATATTCCTTTAAAGTCAAATTCCTTTAATCAAATTCTATTCATACTCCAAACGAGTTCGAGTTTAAGCCAAACCTATCCGAGTCGAGCTTTGACCGAGTCGATCTCGAATAATTCACAAGTTGTCTCGTATCGTTTACACCCCTAAATAAAAAGCTTAAATTTAACTAATCATTTTGTATTTATTTTTTTCCCCACATTCTTTCATGTATTTATGCTCGACTTTTAAGGAATCTCCTTTTTGAAAATATGACATGAAACATTTAAATAAAATAATGATTGAAGTTTGTTGGCAATGACCCATCAAATAATTGATGCCAAAAATGCAAATGGGTTTGACTGCAACACCCTCTATTTTTGGTCATTTTTTTATGACAAAATACAACTTAATATGCAGAGGGTACAAGTGCTTTATGCAGGTAGATTGTATGCATTACAAAAATAGCAAAAAAGCTTTATGTGTGTACTTTATGCTGTGGTGATTGTACCATGAGCCATAAAGTAAGTAAGTAAGTAAATGCAGGGAATCTTTTTTAAACATGGCTTCTGACCCGACCTTACCTTGAGATTCACGTGTCTTAATTATTATTCTTTTTTCTTGGAAAATACATTTATTCCAACTATTTATATTTATATTTATATAATTTTATTTTTATTTTAAATTATATTTATATCTTTTGTAAAAGTCTTGACCTAAATTTATTACGACATCCACAATGCATAATCTATTTAATTATTTTATTAATTAATTAGTTTTATAGGTCATAAGAATGTATCTAATAACTTTTAGAAAGTCTAAACAGTTATTTATAAGGTTTTGGAATGTTACGTAAATAAAAAATAGAGTTTTTATTTTCTATTTTACTTCAAAGGATTTTCTAAAATGTTGTCGAAAATACAGAAAGTAAGAAAAAACTCCAAGTTTAGTATTGTCTTAAAATGTCTCCAACATAGAAAAAAACTCGGAAGTTTATATTTTATTTAAGGTGGAGTTCTAATTCGTAGAATGTTTTTGGATGAAATGAAATCTATGCAGAGAATTTGATTTTGAAGGAATTGAAATGAAATGTTGTCAGTTTTGACGAGATGATTGGTTAGAGGACTTTGAAATGAGATTTGTTTAGAAATTGAAATATGTCTGTTTGTTTCACATAATGTGATTTTGGGATAAAAATGAAATGTTAGTAAATGACCAAAATGTTCTTTTTTGAATTTATTTTAAAGCTAAAAATACTTTAATAAAATATATTTTTAATGTGTAAAACAATACAAAATACACAACTTAATTATAATCATAAACCATACGACATTATTAAATGGATATTAAAATTGTTTTAAAATAATTAATTCTTTATCATATAAAATAAATACATAATAGACATAATTTGATGTTTATTATATTAATCAAAAGAGTTAACTACTATATTAAACTAGAAGGGTATTCGCGTAATGCAGCAAGATCCTCGTTTTTTAATGTGTAGTTTTTATGCTTTGTGTCTATCGATATAATACAATTTTATGTGTTTTTAAGAAAGCGATAATGCTTTTATTTTTGAATGAAATATAAATTTGAAGATAACATAAAAATTTGAAAAAAAATAAATCGATATTTGTATCAAATTAACTATTTAATAGTTCTATTTTTTTTAAGTAACTTCTCTAATTCAATTTTTTATTATACATTAATTTAGATTTAATAACAAAGTAATTTATTTTTGGTTTAACAATATAATCTATACTATATTATAAAACATTTGACAAAAATTCTTAAAAACCATTGTTTATACATGAAGTACTATATATTGATGGATATTACTTAAAATTTAAAATTATAAGTAAATTATGCATAAATACAACTTATTAAAGCTCTATGTTTGAATTCGTGTAACTAACTACAGATAAACATAATCAAATAAAGGATAAACATCTCATTTTAAAATATAAAAAATTTAAAATATAATTATGATGATTATCGAGTTCTAACTGAATTATTATATTTATAATTTTTTTATTGTTAAATCAAAAATAAATTACTTCACTATTTGACATAAATTAAATTATAATAAAAAATAAATTATATAAATTATATAAAAAACAATAACTTTTAAATAGTTAATTTGATATTAATATCGATATATTTTTTCAAATTTATTTTTATTCAAAAGTAAAAACATTATCTTTCTCAAAACTACATAAAACGTATTATATCAACAAAGATTAAAAAAATAAAATGAAACATTAAATGAATATGTATTTCGCTGCATTGTGCGAATATCTTCTAGTTTTTCTATAAAGATAATAATTAAGTATTCTGTTAGAACTCAATTATTATCCTAATTATATTTTAGATTTTTTATATTTAAAATGAGATGTTTATCATGTATTTGATTATATTTATTTGCAGTTAGTTACACGAATTCAGATATGAAACTTTAATAAGTTGTACTTACGCACAATATACTTGCCATATTAAGTTTTAAGTAATATGCATTAATAAATAGTATTTAATACAAGTTATATAAATATATACATATTAATGATGATATAGGATATAAGAGTCAATGAAATACATTAAAAAAAACTAACAATATCTGAGTTACGGATTTGGTCCCTATGGTATGTCAAAAAATTACGATTCGCGTCCCTAAACTCGATTTTTTTTATATGGTCTACGTGGTTATCATTTTCTTATGACTAAGGTCCCTCCAACTAACGACCCTTAAACACCTTCGTTAATCCGATTAACTTAGTGGTCATTTTTGTCTTTTTAGACCTGTTTTTTTTGTCTTTTTTTTCTCTGTATTGTTGTTGTTTTGGTCCTTATGGTTTACAATTATTTACCATTTTGGTTCCTTGTACTTAAATGTATTAGTTCATGGTCGAAAATAGTAATAAATTGCAAACCATAGGGACGGAAATCGCAATTTGTAAACCACATGAATGAAAATCAAAATTTAATAAAAGATTAATCTAAGTGGCAGTTTACAAAATATTTCTCGGTTACTTACCTTACCGGATGAACAAGACAAAGAGCGATAATCTTACCAGTAAGAGCAATGGCAAGAACGACGAGTCTTACCTAGGAAGTAAGGGTGATGACTCTTACCTGGTTAGCACTTATCAAGTAAATTATTACATATGATACCATTTTGATGAACTAGAATCTTGCCCATTAAGGTAGTGAGAGTCTTGAATCTTACTGATAAACGCTTACCATGTTAGTTTTTAAATAAACGGACCTAATTCAAAGTGAATGTTCCACAACAGAGATTATAGTTAATTCTGTGAACTTTTAACGGTGCTTCAGTCGTGGCGTCACCTAGAGGGACGAAAAGTTAAAGAAATAAAAACCACAGTAACCAAAAAAAGTAATTATCAAACCACATGGATTAAACCAGAAATTTTTGACAAACCGAATAGATGAAAATCGTAATTTACTCTATTTTCTTTTCTCCAGTTATAGGTTCCTTGTCTATTGAATCGTGGATCCAAACAGATAAAAGAAAGAAAAGACCAAATACAAAATGATGTTATTGTCGATCAGAATATGCAAAATATACATTGAATTCATGTACATGAATACTGTAAGTTGGGTATTGCAGTTTCAAAAAATACTGTTGGATTTAACAGACTGATTAAGTTGTGCGTACTCAAAGGATTCGTCTAGCTCTTGATGCTCCTCATTTGAGTTTTTTGATGACGTGTTCTTTAGCTTTTTGGGTTGCAACATCGACGACATTATCACTTGCCCTTTTTATTAAATCTCGCTTGGCTTCAGATATTTTTCCTTTCACGTCTTTTACCGTTTTTGAAACCTGGGTTAAATCAACCGTGAAAAAAAGAAAAAAATATTATAACATTATTTTGATAAAGAAGTTAAGAGTAGCGAGCTTTAACCACTAGGGTGGTGCTTGATTGGTTTGAGCTCGACTCCAAATGTCAAAAATACCAGGAGGTCTCAGGTTCAAATCCAATGAGGAATAAAAATCCCCTTTGTGGCCACAGAGGTTTAAATAAGGTGACTCCGAACTATCTACAAAACAGGTGGTCGCCCTGAGATTAGTCGGCTCGCATAGCGGGTTGGATATCCAGGTTAATCAAAAAAAAAAAAAAAAAAAAAGAATAGCGAGCTTTTACATGATTACCTCATCAAATCCTTTCTTAACTTCACCTGCTGCTTCCGTCACCTCTTCGCATTTTTGTTCCACCTTCTCGTTTATATTTTCCTGTAATTTTCGGTGCATGTTATGTTTATTTATGAACGAGCAAATTACAGATGTGGTCCCTGTGGTTTACATTTTTTATCCACAATGGTCCCAAAATCAAAATAAATACATATTTGGTACCCTTGGTAGGGGTGTTCGCGGTCCGGTTTGGGCGGTTTAACCCCTCAGACCACAAACCAAACCGTAATGGCGGTTTATAAAATTTTCAGACATCAAGTGCCCAGACCGGTCAAACCAGACCATAAAAAGGCGGTCTGGTCTAACCGGTTTAGGCGGTTTGGCCCTTTAATGGACTTTAAATATTAAACTTAAAAAACATAAATAATTTATAACTTTAGATTAAATATCCATCTCGATTATGTTAGATGTTAGGCTTTAAGTTGGGTTAGGGATATATTTGAGCTATATCCCATAAGTTAAAAAAGTTGGACTTGCTAATACAAAAATAAATAACTAAATTATATATATATATATTTGGCGGTCGGTTTGGTCCAAACCGCCCAAAAAAGGTTCCAGACCGCAGACCGGACCGGACCGCCCGGTTTTGCTATTTTCCAAACCAAACCAAACTGTCAGGCCGCTCAAACCGCCAAAAAGGGTCCGTTTTGACTTGGTTCGGCCGGTTTGAGCGATGCAACGGTTTTTTTGAACACCCCTAACCCTTGGTATGCATTTTCGCACGTATTGAGTCCCTCCCTCTGACAAGAAAAATGGTTTTGAAAGAATTTTTGCATATAAAATATGAAAGAATTTTGTTATATATGATTTTCGGGACCTAAAGCTCCCCTAAGCAAAGATCATCCGTTCCAAGCGACCATCAACACTCGAGATGGATCGATTTACGTGTTCGCTTAAATTCTTTCACCACGACGTATACAATTCTTACCTTTTCTAGATGTTTTGAGGCGGTGACGAATGTTCTAGTACTTCTCGAGAAAGATGATTTGGGTACGACATCAAATATAATATCTCTTGAAATCTTCACTGCTTTACGTAATCGTAAACTCGTCATGTTTCGTATTTTAGAAATCCAGAATGAAAATATTTGAATCTTTATCTGAAGTTGTTTAACGGTATAACTATGAAATGGCAAGAAAAATGGGAGATGGGATTTAAAGCCTATTTGCCACATGTTCGTCATTGAGGTTTTCTAGATAGTAATTTTTATGGGGCTGAAATAAAAATTATCTCTATTTATCTGGAGGAATCTTTAAAATTACCACTGCTTAGCTTTTAATTCGTCCATCTTAACAAAACATCAAAATAACTGGCAAATGGATCTCTTCGACAACACTTTCACCTCATCTTCGTAATCCTTTTGTCTACAATCAGTATTGTTTTAATTAACCAACTTGATAAGGATTCATTCGAACCAACGGGTTCCAACGATATCTGTCTGTAATTAACTTTAAGTCTTATTAAAACCAGTTTTAAATGTATACAGATTAAACTGAATATCTACGGTTATCCAAAACTATGAAAGTAGTACAATGTAAAGTAAAAAAAGAGAGAAGAAAGATCATTTAGGTAAAACAAGATTTGATTTCACAATAATATTCATGTTCTTGGTAGCCGTAAAATTGGGGAAATTGATCAAAATAATCAATCTCCCGACCAGATCGCCTTTTTTAACCAGAGGTTAAACAAATGTCTTACCTATATCGTCTTCTTTTAAGGGTGTTTGAGATTGCTTATTTAAAACAACTTATTCATTTTTTGTAAAAATGTTTATCTACTTACGTGGTGTCAAACCGGAGTTCTATAAAAAGTGTTTGAATTAGCTTATGACGGTACCAAAACGTAAAAACTGATAAGTTGTCTTTTAGTGTTTGATAAATTTTGCTTATTCATGTAAAATGACAAAAAATGACATTCTTCCATATAACTACAAGATCTTCAAACCCCACCGTCAAACAGTAGCATATGCAATCGAGAACCATGAAAACAGTAGCATATGCAATCGAGAACCATGGAACAAGAAATCGATAACCATAAAAAGCATATGCAAACATGAAATCTAAGAACTGTCAAGGCACATACAAGAAATCGAGAACCATGGAAACCAAGGAAGTTGAAACCGAGGAAGCTTAGAAATCGAAGACTATGGAACTCAAACACCATGGAAGTTGAAATAAATGAACAAATATCGTATCGGGAGAAATAGAAATCGAAAACTAAATTGAAGTTGGAGGCCATGAAGAACCCTGCGGAAGAAGTCGTGCAATAGATCTCCTTGAAGATACCTGATAAGTTGATTTGGATCAAACAACTTTTGAATTATTAGGTTTAGGGTTACAGATTTTGATGTTCTTGGGCACTCATCATGGGTTGTTTTGGACCCAATCGAGGAAAATGAATTATCATTGGTGGATTTTATTAGGTTTAGGGTTAAAAAGGTAATTTGAATTTCAAAGCTGATAAATTGTTTTTGATAAGTTAGAAGAGAGTAACTTATTAAAAACTCTTTATTACCGATTTGACACTGGTATAAACATTACTTTTTTCTTATTCAAACACTAAAAACGATTTATTATCGATATCACACCAGAATAAGTTAATAAACAATTTAAATAAGAGATTGTTTGTTTGGCTCTTAATGGTGACATTAAGAGCTAACCTCTTAATCGGTAAGAGGTAATGGCTGTTTGGCACAAAAAAAAAAGAGGCTCTTAATGGTTACATTAACCTCTTAACCATTTTGTACCTAGGGCTTCACTAAACCATTCAGATTTCCATTTTTCCAACTTTGCCCTCTCTACTCTCTACACCAGTCGCTCCCCCTCCCCATAACACGATCGTCGGTCTTCCATCGCTCCCCCCCCCCCACGATCGTCGCTTGACCGGTCGCCGTCTCAGGTCGCCTTCTTCCAGCAGGTCGTCCGATCGCCTTCTTCCAGCAGGTCGTCCGATCGTCGTCTTCCAATAGCTCTTCTGGTCGCCGCTCCTACTGCTTCCCTCCATCCTTTTCCTCGCAAGCTTCAGGTATTTCTGCCCCTACTGCTTCTGCGTTATCTGTTATATGATGGGATTGATTTTCGTGAGAAACAAAAAATGGCTATACCCCAAGAAAAAGGAAACCAACAGATTATGCTTTTCACTGTCGTTATCTAGATGGAGTTATTGATTTTCGACATTTTTTGATAAGAACAAGGAAACCAACATAATAATATTCCCGTTGAAGTATTTCATAATATGGGGTTATGCTTTTCATAGTACTTCTTGTCACAAGCCTACTGTTATTCCTGTTGTAGTATTTCCTCCATCCTTTTGTGAAGAATGATATTCCCCCATCCTTTTGTGAAGAATGATATTCCTTCATCCTTTTGTGAAGAATGATATTACTGTTGTAGTTATATTTGCAAAATAATTGTTCTATTCAGATATATGTCAAACAACTCTATTTCATTCAGTACTAAATCATTCAGAGAGTTAAAATGATAATTTGTTGTCATTCAGAGAACAGTTACCAAACAACATTATTTCATTCAACACTTAACCATTCTAATCACTTGACCGGTACCAAATCATTCAGCAACCGCCAAACAACCCATTATGAATCTCAAACACCCTTTAGAATAATTTTGTGTTACTGGAAAAAAACCGAAAAACCCACATATAATGCCAATTTAGGTCAAGATTGGATAGAGCATTCCGGCGGCCATGGCGGAGCAAGAAGGCATCAATCCATGGGGTTCAAAATCTTGGACGTACCTATCATCTCTCCGGCAACAATCGCCTTTGATACAATGCATCACGAATTTGGTATCCATGGATTTAATGGCCAACACCCTCTTAGCCGCCGGCGCATCACCAGCGATGGTCCACTCCGTTCGTGAAATCCCAGAATTCACTCCTCACACCCAAGCCGTCCTTATAAACGTTGGTACGCTGACCCCTGATTGGTTGCCGGCTATGAAAGCCGCCGCCGGTGTTGCGAATGTGTATGGTAAGCCTTGGGTTCTTGATCCAGCTGCCGTCGGAGCTTCCAGTTTCCGGTTAAACGCTTGTCTTGAGCTTATTGAGCTTCAACCTACTGTTATTAGAGGCAACGGGTCTGAAATCATTTCTCTCTCCACGGCTTCCATAGGATCCACCAAGGTAAATCGTCTAATTCTCGATTTAGGGTTTATCGTCAATCGAATTTGTTTACTGTATACAGTCACTCAACCTAATTGAAAATCTACGAATTTGTATGTTTCTTTCGAACTTATTCTATTGAATCGGGCTGAATTTACTTCAATTCGTACTAAATCGTTCTTTGTTCGTAGGGTGCTGATAGTTTGCATGAATCTAGTGATGCTGCCGATGCAGCAAAGGCTTTAGCGAAATCAAGCGGCAGCATCGTTGCGGTTTCGGGATCGGTGGACATGGTTACAGACGGTGAACGGGTTGTCGGGGCATGTAACGGTGTGCCGATGATGCAGAAGATAACTGCGAGCGGATGTGCAGTCACCGCCCTCATTGCGGCATTCGTGGCTCTCGACCCTGCAAACGCCTTTGAAGCCACAGCAGCTGCGCTTTCGGTGTTCGGATTGGCGGGCGAGATCGGCATGGGGATGGCGAACGGACCTGCGTCGCTGCGTATGCATCTGATCGACTCGCTTCATGGGCTTGATGAAGAGAGTGTTGTTCATGGTGTTAACATCCCAAGCATCTCTTGAAGGGTAATGTGGAGTTTGTTTTCGTGTTTGAGTTCTTGAAGTTGTGTGATATGATGGTTGTTATGTCGATATGAAATCTGATATGGTTCAATTGATATTATGTTATTTAAGCTGTTAATTCAAACCAATCAAAGTCTTCAAAATCGTCATCTAAAACCATTTCTTTTGTTCTACTTTTATTAAGCTTTTACTACGATCCATGCGGATGATATAGTATTTTATACCACTTTATTACTTGGAAAAGATGATATTATATCATATTGTATAACTTGCTTTGTAATTCGAGTACACAATTCATCATTCGCTAAATCATGGTGAGGTTGATGAAATGACGATTACAAATGAGATTATGATGTTTTTCGTTCAAACAAACACGAGCACACAAAACACAAAACTTTAGTACGAAAGATGGACTGTTAGCCTCAGCAAAGATTCGACCCCATCTGCAACGATTTGACCGGCAGGTATGAGCGATCGAATCTCCGCGAACCCGCAAGCGTGCAGGAACTTCCCGGTGCCGCCAGTCACCGACAGGCGGGACATGGTGGTTCCGATCTTGTACACGCCAAAGAAGTTGATGCTATCGCCATACTCCCCGCCTTCCATCATGGCGGTGAACGTCATCATCTGCCGACTTCCATCGGCAGAGCTCGAGACGTACACACCTTGTGCTTTCCCTAGTGTCTGTGAACCCAACTTGACATCCGCCGTCAAGAGGTCGTCGATCACCGTGATCGTCCCGAACCCGAGACCGAGCCCGTCCGGTCCCAGTTGGGCTGCGATCTGGCTTTGACCGTTGTTCTGGTTCAGATTTCCAGCAAATTGTGTACCGACTAAGCCGGTTCCGAGTGGGATACCGTTGGCGTTTACAGTTGGGATGGCTCCATTGGCGTTAGGAATGACGACACCACCCGATGGTGCTCGGAAACCTATACGTCTAGCGAAGGGGACTTGACCGCTATATATGTTACCTAACAGTCCGGTGACTGGCCTCGCGGTGGGGTTGCTGCCGCCAAGAATATCGTGCATATAGAGCTCGAAAACGTGTACTCCGGCTTCTTCGACTTCTGGTGCAGGATCAACTGCTACTACATTTGAGATTCCGAGATGAACAACTCCGACAAGCATCACGAACACGAGAACCGTTAACGAATGGTTCGGCATCTCGAAATCTCGAAATGGGTATTTCTTTAGAGGGAGATTGTTGTTGTGGAAAAATTCTGAAGGTTGAGAGCTTGTTTGGATGGTTATGGCTATGGAGGTGATGGAGGTGGTAATTTATACAGCTAAGTTCAAGAAGAAGATGATGGAGTTGTTCAAGTTATACGTTTAATATATAACATCTAAATCGTTAAGAGATGAATCTTATTTGGCAAAAAAAAAGTTTGCCTTGTAATTGTTCAAAAACCCTTGAATGATTTTGTATCCTGGGCGGCTGCCTTAACCATTTAACGCCCTAATTTCGTTGTAAATAATTACCAAACAATTATATTTCATTTTGTACTATCTCATTATAGTTTATCAATCATTTAGACCTCTTAATCATTCTACACCAAACGAAACATATGTTTAAATTCTAGAATCTCTGGGATTGTAGTGGTTATAACAAAACCATGATATGAAGTTGGAAGGCCAACGGAGGAGGTATCATTTTCGTAACTTATAAAATATTCAATTTTTGGAGGCACTAAACGTCACCGTTTGTGTAGTAGTTGATTTCCTGGAGATGTAGTGGAATAAGCATATACAAGAGTTTGTGGTATTGAGTTTATGAAGGTTGATTTTTTACGGTCATAATTTATTTGGACACAGTCTGATACATCTTTTCATATAAAAACATTAAACTTTTTACTTAAATTAAATACTGTACTTATAAAAGTATATCTTTTTTTGGGCAAAAGTTGATTACCGACAATTTTAATTGGTCCCACTCGAAACCTATCTCCAAGGACACCAATGTAAGAGACATTTATTTGTCTCACTCAACGGCTAAGGCCGAGGAGGGTGGGGGGTTGGAAATACCCCGGAACCGATCTTATATTCAGGCAAAGTCGTCCCGCTTCTTTACCAACTGAGGTATGCCAGATGCAGTATATCGGTATTATGAACAGATATATTGTATAAAAAGTAAATTATATAAGTAAAATTTGTCAACTATCGTAGATCTTTTGTTTCATGTTTTAATTTTTGTTATTCGTACTTGTAAATTATAGAGGTGAGTAAAGTTCGGTATAGATTGATAAAACAAGGGTTACCGAACTGAGACCGAACAAAAGTGGATTCGGATAGCTATGGTTGGTTCGTTAACCGGTTCAATATTTTTAAAAATAAATGAAAATATGTATTTTGATGGATTATTTGGAAAAAAGTATTTTTCTTAGTAGATTTTGACAAGTACAACTTATTTTTATATAAACTGCACATAATTTTTGTCTCTGTCGATGTTATAATACGATTTTATGTGTTTTTAAGAAAGCAATAATGTTTTTTGTTTTGAATAAGATATAATAAAATTTGAAAAAAAATATATTAATGTTAATATCAAATCAACTATTTAAAAGTTCTCATTTTTTATGTAATTTCTTTAATTTATTCTTTTTATTATAATTTAATTTAAGTTTAATAATGAAATAATCTATTTTTGGTTTAATGATATAACATTTTATAAAGATAATAATTAAGTATTTTGTTATAACTCAATAATTATCTTAATTATATTTTAGATTTTTTATATTTAAAATAAGATATTTATCATATATTTAATTATGTTTATCTGCAGTTAGTTACACGAATTCAGATATGGAGTTTTAATAAGTTGTACTTACGCGTAATCAACTTGTAATTTTGAGTTTTAAGTAACATGTATTACTAAACAATATTTTACGTATAAAAAATGGTTTTTAAGAGTATTTGTCAAATGTTTTATAATATAGTATAAACTAGAGACATTTATCAAAATCAACTAAATACCCGGAAAAAATCATCGAAATACCAAAAAGTCTTTAACCTTGCGGTATATGGGTCTTTCACCTCCTAGGAAGTTGGCGGTTCAAACCCCACCAAATATAAGAAGGTATATGAGTTTATTTGTTCTATTCACCGTATATAAATATTATATATTTACAAAAAATTATTGAAATAAAAAAAACATTTAAAATCTCATGAAATGCTGAGATTGAATTAATCGAACAATGAACAACCCAATTTACGGAAGTTATGAATCTTTAAATTATTGGAGAGAAATCTTTGCGATCACATCAGGAATTGACAAGCAATTGGAAAATTTAAAGAAATCAGGATCTAACATTCGTGAAATCCACCCTCTTGTTCTTGTTGGATTCCATGGTTAGCGTTGATTTAGGGCACGATTGAATTTTAGGCGGGCATTTAACGGCCAACGAATCTTCAGTTTCCCCCAAAGTTTCTTTCGCAATAATGTCGTTTCTCGAGGACTTCCAAGCCAGTAAGCCTCCATCTTTCTTCTCCTTCCTTAATTCTGCTTGCTTCTGTAATGAAATTTGTTTGTTTAGCCAAAAAAAATTGGGTCCCTTGTGGCGAATTTACAGTTTGATCGAGAAAAAACCTAGAATTGACTAGAACCCTAGAATTTTGTAGGGTTTCTAATTTGTTCTTGGATAGTTACCAAGTTGTTAAAATTATAGGTAGATGCATACTTCTCTGTGTATTTCTGTCGATTAATATACCTTGCGTATTCGATTCTGCTTGTGCATTTGTGTGTTTAGTTGGATTCTGTTTAAAGGGACAGTATGAGAGGTTTTCATGCCCGATAGTACAACTTAAACAGGACAGCATTCGGTATGATTAAATGAGAGATACTACAACAAAATGGGGATTTTGCTATTCAAATAACACTTTCTGATTTGATGGAATAAGTTTATCATGTTAAACAGACCTGCATCTGATTCTGAATCAAAATTTCATCCTTTTGTTTGCAATTCATTTCAACAAGTGAGGTTGAAACTTGATTGTGCATGATGACATCCACTGATTGACCTAATAAGTGGTCTTAAGCCCTCGGGCGTGTAGCTCAGTTGGCAAAAGGGCGGAGGAACTATGTGGTCTTAATATTTGTAATTTGGTAACCACAAGGGTGGTGCCTAATTGGTTTGAGCTTGGATCCAAAGGTCAAAAGTACCAGGAGGTCCCAGGTTCAAATCGAAGGAGAAATAAAAATTCCCTTGTGGCCACAGAGGTTCAAATGCGGCGACTCCGGACTATCTGCAAAGCAGGTGGTCGCCCTGGGATTAGTCGGCTCACATAGCAGGTTGGATATCCAGGTTAATCAAAAAAAATTGTAATTTGGGTAATTCTCTCATGGGCAAATTGCATGAAAAAGTAATGTACTTTAACTTGATTCCTATTTTGGGTAACGTACTTTCAAAACTTCTATTTTGGTACCCAAGATGTAAAGTTTTAAACATTTAAGTACCCGGGTAACTGGTTGAAGTATTAACCGATTATCATGCTGATATAGCTAGTGATGTGGTATCCAACTCGGTATTATTTGCTAACGTGGTCAATGACGTGGATTTTTTTAAATCTAAAATTAGTCTTTTTTTTAGTCTAAAATTAGTCGTTCACCGGGTTACTCCGGTAGTTAAATGTTTAAAATTTTACATCTTAGGTACCAAAATGGAAGTTTTGAAAGTACGTTACCCAAAATAGGAATTAAGTTAAAATACGTTACTTTTTCATGCAATTTGCCCTTCTCTCATACCAAGGTTATACTGAGGCAAAAAGTTCAAACTGTTATGTGGTGAAACTAGTCAGTAAATAGCCTAAATGGGAAGATTAACCTTGATTGATAAATAGCCTCAAAGTAATCTTGTGTGAAGGGGCTATCCCAATTTACATGTGTTTAAGGCCTTTTATCAACTGTATAAATTTAGGTTCAGATCATCAGATTGTTAGTTGTTTAGGTGTTTATCCCTTTTTCTGTGCTTAATATATACAGCTCTGGCCAATCCGTTAAATCCGGAATCCATAAAACTTAATAGTTCAGATTGAAAGAACTTGCAGATGTGTAAATCATTGCTAGTTTTCCTTGGTTTCTTTTAGCAACTCACTCTACCCTGTGCGTCTTTAACTTCTGACTTACTCTCCTCGTTCGTATACACGTCCAAAAATGATTATATAGGAAAGGACAAGATAGTCCTTTTTCCTATCTGTTGATTTTTCATATTTGTGTACTTGGATGTTTTTGAAGTTGGCTTTTACGCCTCTCTGAGTTACCAATTCAGGTGACTGACACATGTACTTCTACATTGCTTTCCTTTCTTGTTGATAACCTTTAGGGTAGCGAAGGGTGTTTTTGGTACACAGGACATAACAAAAACTTGTCCCACGTTTTGGTGCAACATTGGACTGTGGGACTGGACAGGTCTGAAGCAAAATAGGTGGAACAAAAATCAGGGAGATAAGACAAGATCGGTAAATTACTAAACTACCCATGTCAAATTGAAATCCTAAATCCTCACCCAATTCTTTCACCCGCCTACCTCACTCTCTCCCATCCAGTCTGCATAGCAAATGCACCTTAAGTGATCAAATGGGTTTCATAAGAAGTGAGAGGACTTGAGTTGAACTCCAATGATTTTTCTTGCTAGGTTTATACAAACTTGCACCCTTTTGTAATGAGACTCCATAACGTCATTGATTGTCAGGTTTTTCATACCAGAGTTGTTAATTTACTTTCCTTCATTCAGGTTTGGAGCCATTGCCAAACATCTTGCAGAGGAAGTACGCATTATTACGTGACTTGGATAAAAGTTTGCAAGGTATACTTTTATACACCGACTTTGAGCGTATGCACATATATCATATGTTCTGCAATATTATTATATGACATAACTAAATCTATCCATGTACTTTTATGTGTGCCCACATTCATCAAAACTGTTGCCACATCCTCTTTGCTTTCCACTCTGAACCAGGAACACATAATACCAAATTACCAATATAGACATGCCGGTCCAATCTTTTTGGAGTCCCTGTTACACATGTACCAAGACTATAGATCGATTGGGCGAATAATAAATGAAACAAAATATAAAAGTCCATACCATATATTATATTAAAAGTCTTACAAATGCAGCTGATGTTTATGAGTTCCTGTTAATATAGTCATTGTCCTCCTCCAAATGCAGCAGTGATTGAGCTCTTTTCGTAACCATATTTGCAGATATTCAACGGCAGAATGAATTACATTGCCTACAGGAAATAGAGGAATTTAAAGAGGGAGTAAAGTCTGGGAACATTGGGCCAGGCACGTCACTTAACAAATTCTCAGAAGAGGCTCAAGATGAGCAAAAACATGCCATCAGGATCGCTGATGAGAAGGTTGCTCTGGCGGTTCAAGCATATGATTTGGTACCATTTTTTTATGAAGTATAATATATATATATGGAGAGAGAGAGAGAGAGAGAGAGGCTCCTTTTTTTGCAAACCATCCGATGGTTACAAACCTTACAAACAAGGGAGATTATCTAGTTTACTTGAACTTGAAGTAGAGTGTTGAAAATCTGCTTTCTTCAGGTGGATGCTCATATTCAACAACTTGATCAGTATCTTAAAAAATTAGAAGAGCAACGGCGTGGTAGATTTCTTCTTCCTTTTCAAACCTGCCATAATGTGTGTGTGTGTGTGCGCGCGCACGATAGGTGCCCCTATGTATGTATTCTGGAACCATCCACACATTTTCGTTTTATATCTCCTGATGTTCAATGGTTTGTGGCAGAAAAGGATAATGCTGCTTTAGCTGCATCGCTTGCTTTGAATCCTGATGGAAATGGGAAACCTGGAAAAGGCGGTGAAGGTGGTAGAGGAGGACGAAAAAAGTAATTATCTTTGCGACCGAAGACTTATGTTTGCTTAAAATATATTCCCTCTGTCCCAAATTAAAATATCCACAATGAAAAAGATCGGTCTAGAAATGTGCAATCACTACACTTCTTAATTAACAATTGTACCCTTAATACCAGAGGAAGTAATGAACTCCGTCTTATAATCAAGGGTGGAATTGGAAAGTGGACACGGAGGAACTAAAATAGAAATGTGGACTTTTGGGTCACAACTATAATGGTCAAAATTGTTTATTTTTTTACCATTACAGGACACGGCTTGGTGCAGCAGCCTCAACAGGTGCATCAGCAGCGGCTGCAAACGCACCAAGTATGGACTTGGATCTGCCGGTTGATCCTAATGAACCAACGTATTGTTTCTGCAACCAAGTGAGCTACGGGGAGATGGTAGCGTGCGACAATCCTGATGTACGTATTTTTAGTAAGCTTGTTTGTGTATCTATCGGTTTATAACCAACAGAAATGAAACAATGATATGTTTTTCTACAGTGCAAGATCGAATGGTTCCATTACGGGTGTGTTGGTCTGAAAGAGCAACCGAAAGGAAAATGGTATTGTAGCGATTGCAGCGGGATGCAAAAGCGAAGAAAGGGGAAATAAACCAATGAGTTGTTGTTTGTTGATGTTGTAGGAATTAGGAAGTAATTGAAGATCAATAACTCTCTAGATTTTGTGTGATTTTGTCTTTTCTTTTTATAGTTTGAATTGATGCTTCTTTTATTACATTTAGCCTTTAGTAACAGACTTCCTTTTAACCTCAAATATTAGCATGGAGTTAGACTCTTCCTTGAAGAATAGTATCCAACCCGTTATGTGAGCCGACTAATTCTAGGGTGACCACTTGCTTTGCAGATAGCCTGGAGTCACCGCATTTGAACCTTCGTGGCCACAAGGGGATTTTTATTCCTCCTTGGATTTAAACCTGAGACCTCTAGGTACTTTTGACTCTTGAAGCCAAGTTCAAACCAAACAGGCACCACCATTGTGGTTGTTTTTAAGTTTTTTAGGAATTTCTAATGATGTATTTTGTTATAGAAAATATATATTCTTATTATAATTATATAAATTAATCAAAATATATAATATAAGAAATTAAAACTTAAGAGAAGAAAAACGAAAGTTTACATAGGATTTTAAAATAAGAAATATTTAGGTTTTTTGATTTTATAAATGTTAGCTTTTTAATCGATATTTATGTTAAACTTTTTGTATTTTGTGAATATTATTTATGAGTTTTTGTTTAGATTGATTATTTGATCAAAAAACACTAAACACTCGTCAGTCGTCACCGATAAGTTGATCATTTTACCAATCTTATTTTATCAAATATTGAACAACTGTTATATCTTGTCTGTTTGAGTACCATAAATGAACTAACTGATTTTGAGTTTAACCCCATAAACAAGCTGATAGTTTTAGATATAATTTATAATTCAAATTTGTTAAAAAATAATGAGCTCAAGCTCTAAAATTAAAAAAAATCGAACATAAACACTACTTTCAAAAAAATTATGAGCTCGGGTTCAGAGTCTAAACAACTGTTTGACAATTGCTGAATGATTTTGTGCAAAATGATTAAATGGTCAAAATGATTAAGATGTTCTCATGTGCAAAATGAAATATAATTGGTTGGTAATTGTTTATAATAAAATTAGGGTGTTGAATGCTTAAGGGAGACCCAAGATACGAAATCATTCAGATGGTTTTAGAACCATCAAGATGCATACTCTTTTTTTTCACCAAAGGTTATTTGGCAGTTGCTGAATGGTTTGGTGCAGAATAATTAAGTGATCAAAATGATTAAGAGACTCTCATGATACAGTGCAAAATAAAATATAATTGTTCGGTAATTATTTACAATAAGATTAGGGTGCTGAATGTATGAGGGAGATCCAAGATACAAAATCATTAAAAAGGTTTTAGAAGCATTAAGCCGCAGACTTTTTTTTTGTCAAGCAAAATTCATCTCTTAACGATTCAGATGCTACCTCTTGGTGGAACTATTAAGAGGTAAACAAAACAACCCCTAAACAAGATTCACCTCTCAATGATTCAAAAGCTGCTTCTTATTAAACTATTAAGAAGTAATCAAACAGCCCATAAACAAGATTCACCTCTTAATGATTCAAAGGCTGCCCTTTAATGAAACTATTAAGAAGTAAACAAACAACCCGTTTCAAGTCGAGCTCATATCATCACAGGACATATAACTCAAAACTTTAACAATAGATATATAAACTTTGTGCATAAAATTACATCAATCATATCATATTTTGCTCAACAAGAACGTGATTTTTTTTATCAATCTACCATAACATATTCTCATAGCCTAGCTACATCTTCCCCTTCTTACTCTCATATATTGATCGTTTATTCCCGTTAGTAAAATGCATGTCAATCGGTGGTCTCAGTACTCAAAACTCCGGTCAAAAATCCATGCCGCCCATACCGCCCATACCGCCGCCCATAGCCGGAGCCGCTTCACCGGCAGGCTTCGGAAGTTCAACCACAATAGCTTCGGTGGTCGTCATCAAAGAGGACACACTACAGGTTCAAACCGTAAAACAGAGTCAAATTTTAGGCATAATTACTATCTACAACTCGAAAGACCGCTTCAACTAACCTTGCTGCATCAACCAAGGCCGTTCTTATCACTTTTAGCGGGTCAATAATTCCACTTTTCACCATATCCACGTATTCACCTACATTTCAAATTACTTGAGCTTGGTCATTACTGTACATATTTAGAGAGTTGAAGACATTTTATGTACATCACTGTTGGGAAAAGTTCAGTTAGAAACCAACAATATTTCGAGAACCAACTATTCATAATGAATAATGAATATCATGCATTCATTATAAATAATTCATGAATAGCTGGTTCTCATGGTTCTCAAACAAACCGGCCCCCGATGCTGGTACATACATACCTTTGGCTGCATCATATCCAAGGTCAGTGTTGTCCTGCTCCAAAAGCTTCCCAACCACAACAGACCCCTCGACCCCAGCGTTTGTAGCAATTGTATGAACCGGCGTCTGCAATTAGATAAGTAAAACAGTTCAGCACCTATCAGGTCCTTAGGGGCTGTTTGGTTTGTTTTCCATTAAGTCCTGTATGGATAAAGTTGTTTGTGTGGATTAATCTGTTTGTATAAATTGGGAACGTTTTTGTATGGGAGGGTTCTTTCATAGATGGAACGAACATGTTTTATAATTGGGAGGGGCAGGTTTGCCAAAAACTTGGCTTTCTGCATAAAGCTCCCCGTAAAATCTTACTGAATAAGCCACTGAATAAGTTGCGAGTCCCATTAAGCTCATTAAGTTGCTAACAAGCAGACCCTTAGAGCATCTCCAAAGTTTCTTTATAACTTCTTCAAAATGGTACTAAAAAGTTGAAATCTCCAAAAAGAGAAGTCGTGCATCATGCTCTGACCTTAAGGGCGTTTCGAATGATTTGAACACCTATTTTTTGATCAAAGTTGGCGGTTGGTAACTTGTCCAACTCCTTTGATGCATAAAGAAGTGCGACACCACCTCCGGGTACGATTCCTTCCTCTACAGCTGCCTTTGTAGCATTTAGAGCGTCTGTAACTCTATCTTTCTTTTCACCAACTTCAGTGTCACTAGCGCCCCCGATCTTTATATAACGATACTCGTGTTATTAAAATGTGGAAACAGATAAAACCGAAATCATAAGAGATTAGTAGAAGGTAACGAAAGACAAACCTTCAGTACAGCCACACCACCAGAAAGCTTCGCTAACCTTTCTTGCAACTTCTCCTTATCGTAATCGGAGGTGCTAGACTCGATTGCTGACCGAATCTGTTAAAGAGATAACAAACATCTGTCAAACGGAGCAGATTATGCGCAACCGTCCAGCACTGAACACGGCTGTAATCTCATTGAGAGTGGACCGAAGAGGGTTTATGAAACTGGGAACTGTTGGCCAAACAAAGCCGCGATGGTTCAGTGGTCCTGGTTTCAAAAGGATGGAGTGGCAAACCTGTTCACATCGCTCCTCTATAGACTTCTTATCACCGGCACCATCAAGCACAACTGTGTCATCTTTTGATACAGTGACCTACGAAAAGAATTTCTGTCAATTATACAGACCGAAACCGAAAAATAACTATATATTTTATTGCTCCAATATACTCCCTCTGTCCCAAGATAAATCTCCACAAAGAAAAAGGAAAACCGTTTTTAGAAATATGTAAAATTATTACACTTTTCAATGAACTAAATGAAATTGCACCCTTAATATTAGAGGGGGTAATGAATTTCTCCATCTCAGGATTAAGGGTAGAATTGGGAAGTAGATAAAACTAAATAAGATTTGTGGACACTTATTTTGAGCCGAAGCAAGTACAACAACAAACCTTTTTACACGAGCCAAGCATTCGCAACTCCACATTCTCAAGATTCATACCAAGTTCTTCGGTTATAAGCTGCATTCAAATAAAAGATCCATCAATTATCGTTCAAACTCCAACATTTGACTACATGTTCGGCTATAAGTTGGTCAAATCTCAAAATTAAACAATATTATTTTGTAACAATTACCAATATTTCAATTTCTTCAGTTTCAGTTTTTATTGCTCACCCTTAATTTCTGGATTGAGGATTTGCCAAAAGAGAATGTTACATTCATTTGGGATATCACAAAAAGGCTTGTAGCATTAATTTTGACGAGTATTAAAATTGTAAAAGATCAAAAACCCACCTCGCCTCCTGTGAGAGTAGCAAGATCCTGCAAGTTAGCTTTTCTGTTCTCTCCAAAACCTGGAGCTTTTATGGCACAAACCTATTTGGAAAACACAGAATCAAGTTAAATTGCACACTGAGATCATACCGCATGGAAGTAATTCGTTTTCAAGAAACAATAAACACCTTGATGCCTGCACGGATCTTGTTAAGAATTAGGGTCGCCAATGCATCACTTTCGACATCCTCGGCAACAATTAGTAACGGCTTTTGTTTCTGGGCGACAATACAAAATGTGTCAATTACCTGGGAAGTCAAGAGAATCAAGATAAAGGCATTAGGAGAATCTACCTTCAGTGCCAACTCTAATACTTTGATCACCGCATTAATGCTTGTAATCTTTTTCTCGTGGATTAAAATGAGAGGGTCCTCTAGTTCCTGTTATGTATCAACCGGTTAGCAGGCAAGTTTCAGCGATAGATAAGCCAAAGATATAAATATGGTCGAATAATATCCACAAAAAGCTCACGCATTTCTGATTCTTTTGATTGGTGATGAAATGTGGAGATATGTAGCCTCTGTCCATCTTCATTCCCTCGACAATTTCTAATTCGTTATACAATGTCTTCCCATCCTTCACGGTTGAATCCAACAATCAATATGCATCAAGGGTATTAGATTCTTGTGATACAAAACCAAAAGATACGCATTTGTGCAACCAAATAAATATGATCATCAGAAATTAACTATTTTAACTCTTGAATCACATAAAAGGGTAACTAAAAGCAACTTACTTGAATTGTAATGACACCCTCTTTTCCAACTTTCTCCATGGCCTTTGCAATTAGCTCACCGATCTCTCGTTCTCCATTTGCAGAAATTGTGCCCACCTATTAGTTGATGGTTATATTACATTTAGCTTCCTCATCAAATGATATTCTCCATATATATATACACACACACACTACTTTAATCTTTAGAAATCAAACAAATTAATTATACGCAGACCTGTGTGATTTCCTCGGATGTGCTTATCATCCGAGCCCTACTCTTCAAGTTAGTTACCACAGCATCGACAGCCATGGAAATCCCACGTCTAAGATCCATTGCATTCACACCAGCAGCCACTGATTTGCAGCCTTCTGAAAATATTGCGCCAGTAAGGACCGTTGCACAAGTAGTACCTGAAACAGAATAACAGATTAAGGAGTCGTTACAAGTTGTAGCATTTGTTAAGGGAAAAGGTTTATAATTCCTATAAATGATCGGTAATAAAGCTTTATAACTTCTAGAAGGGCTTGGTAATAAGAAGCGTGTCTGAATTACCATCACCGGCCACATCATTAGTGGCATTAGCAACCTGCTTGACAAGGCTTGCACCAACATTTTTGACTTTGTCTTTGAACTCGATGCTTTTTGCCACGGTTACACCATCTTTTGTTACCTTTGGGGATCCATAGCTCTGCTCGATTACCACATTACGCCCCTTCAAAAGGAAACAGGAAAAATGGTATCTTTTTATTAGACTGCTGAGAGGCTGGATCATAATAACTATGAACATAACAAAGAAAAATCATACATTTGAGCCAACTTTAAATACACAGCACTGCCACTCGGCAGCAAACATGCTCTAAAAGTGCCAAGGGTACGCAGGACGGGACAAACGAGAGTTAAGTAATTGTGAAAGATTTTAGGGTTCTAATTTGACATCTTTAGTAAATTACAAATATCCCAATTTTTATTCCATCTATTTTATTCCCGATTCTGTCCAGTCCTGGTCTAATGTTGCAGCTGTCCTATCCAGCGTACCAAAGTTGGGGCTCGTAAAAGTTACAAATTAGTATCCTACTAATAAAATGCTTTTGATGACAAATTGATATGTCTTCAAAATTGAACCTTCAAGATGCCATGTGTAATGGTGCACTCAAAATTCCAATCACAACTAATCAAGTATAATCAAATATTTGGTTCTTGAATTTTGTCATGTTAAATCTTTCAGAACTTAAGTTTGGATAATGGATGTATCAAGAAACATTGAAGATCAATGAAGCAAGTACCTTTGGACCCATAGTTACTCTAACAGCATCTGCAAGCTCTTCAACTCCTCTAAGCATTAAAGCCCTAGCATCTACTCCAAATCTGATGTCTTTGGCTGCATAGTCTCTGCTCCAACTCAACCTACTTCCAATCTGTTTTGCATATAAAGAGAAGAGATAAACATACATATATCTGTATATATAGAGGGGGAGGGGAAAGGTAAGGGGGAGGAAGACAATTGATCAAACACCTGGCGGGTGCTATTTCTTGCAACCCTGCAAATTAAACATAAAAATGAATCTTGATTAGATAAAAATCAGAGAAGTTGTGCGTATGTGACTGAGAATTACGGGATCAAGAAAGTGAAAGTTGGGTTGTACAAGTTATGTGGGTACTGATGAAGAAGTAAGGAAACGATGAATTGGGGATGTACCTGGCCTTGGAAGCAAGATTTGTTGCGAAACGATACATTCTTCTTTGATTCTTAGAAAACCCCTTTTGCAGAGTTTAAGAGAGGATAGGAGAGTGAAGATGGCTGGTGGTTTGCAATATAAAAAAGGGAACAGAAGAATCTGGAAGAAGGTGCTTCTAGGGTTTTAGGGTTCAAATAGTGAAGAGGGTTTAAGAAGGGAGAATAATAATACATATGTTGTAATTATTTAAAATACATGTTCTTATTTGTAAATTGGTTTTGAAAAATCATTAAAACATTAGAATTTTTTTCAAAGCATGTTCAATAGTTATGGAAAAAATTACATCAACTAATCAACTTTTCTCTAAAATAATATATATATATATATATATATATATATGGGAAAGAGTTCAAACAAGAATGCATTCATTTTACAAGAACATGAAAACACTCTTTTATTATAGACAATCACATGTGATGTTATTATTCCATCACATATGATACACATGTGATACTAAATTAGACACACGGACGATTTTCGGCGTGATCTTGGTTGCGGGGTAAGTCGCCCTTACACCACTGAGCCCCCTCACATGTATTATCACATGTGATAAAAATGTTGTTGATATGATACTATGATTCATCAAGACTATCACATGTGATGTTAAATCATAGACACAGACAACCTTTAGTGCGGCCTACGTCGTAAAACACGTCTTCCGCATACCATCAGGTCCCCTCACGTGTATTATCACATATGATAAGGGTGTTATCTTGTTGCATAAAATGGAGGTGTTCGTTTTCATGAGACTCGTGAGACCACTTTTTTACACTTGAAACTTCACAGCGAAACGTTGTGAAGGTAAAAAAAATCTGAACCTTCACAACAAAAACACTGTGAAGTTTCAAGTGTAAAAAAATGGTTTC